CACTTTTGGCTACTTTTTTCCCCTGAAATAAACAAGTGATTTAAAGATTTGTCTTCCCTCAGGAAGAAACTTCAGGGTTAAAAAAAATAGTTAATAAAAATAGTTCTGCCCCAAGAGAAATTTTATTAATATTATCTATATTGTAACACTGTCTTGGGATTGAAAAAAAAAAGATACTACCTCTTCAGATGTTGAATCTTTTCTGATCTCTTTCTTTCCATGAGAGAAAAGTATTGAACTAGGGTACTGATACAATGTCCAAAGTTACAAAAAGGAAAAGAAAACTGCCATCTTTTTCTCAATGGAATTTCCAATTGTTACTTCCACTCAGCAGTTCATTGGTAATACCACCTAAGAAAGAATATGGTAAGGCACATGGGCACATGGGCGCCTGGGTGGCTCAATCGGTTAAGTACCCGATTCTTGACTTAGGCTCAGGTCATGACCTCACAGCTCATGAGATTAAGCCCAACATCTAGCTCTGAGCTGCTGCCAGTGAGGAACCTGCTTGGGATTCTCTTTCTCCCACTCTTTCTCTGACCCTCTCCTGCTCCTGTGCATGTGCATGTGTTCTCTGTCTTTCTGTCTACGTTTCTCTCAAAATAAATAAACATTAAGGAATAAAAGATTATAGTAAGATACAAACTTCAGTCCATCTGGGAAAATAATTTTCAAGTCTTAGAATTAATTTTAAGAACTGAAGTCTTCTATTATTTATCAAATGATCCACGCTCCACATGTAGTTATGGGGAAGTCAGTTTAGGGAAGGAAAAGGGAAATAATTAATCATGAGATAAAGTGTGTGGTAAAAATAGCCATCTTTCTAATTTTCATCATTTAAAAGATTATTAGGCAAATTAATCAAAACCATTTGCCAGTGTTGACCTCTTCTGGGTACTTTAGAAGTCTGTGGAACATTCCTGAAATTTCAGTACAACCCATCTGCTACCTATTAGCTCACTTGTCTTACTATCCACACTCCATATCTTTACTCCCTCTGCTCTAACCACTCACCCATTCCTGTAATTCAGCAGTTACTCTCCAGACTCTGAGATTAACATCTGTTAGGAAGATTCAAAACCCACCCCTATGGCCAGAGAGCTACTCACAGAGCTCACTCTTTTTCTTCCATTAGCTTTCCCCTCATATGTAATTTTATCAGACAGGTTTTATCTGACTACCCTATAAAAATGCACCTTCTTTACTACTAAAATGTCTCTCATCCCTTTTATTTGTGTTTGCTAGCACTATTTCCTCGTCTTTTCCCCCTAACAGACAACAGCTGAGATATGTGAGGGCACAACTGTGAAATGCACAGAGAGTCACCCCCTCTCATGTAACCTCTACTCAACCTTCTTCTACTTAATAGTGTTATACAGTCATCTCAAAAGATTTGGACTGAAAGTCTTCTTCTCCTTCTTCTCACAGTATTACATATTTTCATTTTCCTATGGCATTGTGTATATAATTTTTCCATAACATTTGCCACTTTCAATCTTTTACTATAGTGAGCTATGTGCACAAGTCTCTAATATTTGTTCACATAACATTTTTAAATCTGTAATTTCCTGTAAGATTAAAATAATTTTAAATAAAGCAAATTTTAAAAAATATATTGTAGAGTGAATTAATTAACTTTCCCAGGAGACTATTGGAATATGAAAAGTAGAATTTATTACCCTCTCCCAAATATGAATTAGGCTTGTAAAACTATTCTTAAAATTATTTGAGAATATGGTAATGTTCATATTTTTAAGTAACCTTCTTTGTTTTCTAATGCTAATGATTCTATTATGCTTCTAACGAAGGGGCCCTTTTGAAGTAGAGCCAATTTTCTCTACACTGTCCTTTCTTGTTTAAGATTATTCTGTAAACCTGCAGAATTTGTTACTGATAGTCTGGCTTTCTTTCCTTTTCCTTTCTCTCTTTGGACATTGTAACAGTAACCTGGACCAACACTTTTCAGTCCATGGAAAGAAAGGCAAAGAGATTCAATATCTGAAGAGGCAATACCTTGTCTGTTGCAAGGAGCTGTTACAACATAGATAACACTGATAAAATTGTTTTGGGGCAGAGCTTTTTTTTCTTAACCTCAGAGTCTTCTCTAGAAGTAAGAAAGCTATAAATCTTTTGTTTACTAGAGACAAATATAAACCAAAATAATTAAATAACAATAAATTCATTTTATCTCAAGCTTCAAATATAGTATTGCTGAAATAATTGAAAAAAAATAACATGAATCATTACTTTCAATCCATTCAAGAAAGACCAACCCCCCCATGGATCACTTTATATAAGAATATATTCATCAAAATATTTTAAAAACTTAAAACTTCTATCTAGACTGTCTATTATTTTACATGGCTAGGTTGAGAGGTATTTTCCTTATGTCAATTAAAGAAGCCAAATTGGACTATGGACTCTATTAAAATCATTCAAGTCTCTTTGGTTTGTTTTTTTTCTGATCATATGTTCTTATATAATAATTATGTTAAAACCCAAAAAAATTGATGAATGTATAGACACATGGAAACGGCACAATTGGTGTGTAAATTTACGTAAATTTAGTATTTTAGATATTCAAATATTCTGAAAATATGCTGTGCACTAGAAACAGTTTTAAGTCTAGCATAGGAAATCTGGTTATTACCTAATTATTAGAAATAGGTCTCATTTCTTTCAGCAAAATCTTACGGGATTATATCCACTCCTGTATACAACGGAAAACAGGACAATGTAGCAGAAGAACTCTTTCTGTGGAAGTGCACTGCTTTTCCCTACTCGTGGTCCTATCTAGTCTCTGAATTAATTGACATGTAGCCAAACAGCCATTCTCTCTGAGAGTCACAGAATGTTTTTTATCAGGAATTAAAAACTATGTCAAATAAACAGGAAAAGCTATGTAATTGTAAAGAACAATTAAGTATAACCATCTGTTTTCAGTCTCTCCTTTGAGGTTGGTTATCCAAATGTATGTGCTGATGTAGAAGTTGAACAGGAACAGGGTTACAATCACCCTCTGAAACCTCTTAAAGTCTGCTCTTAAACCTAGATTTTTGTTTGCTTTTGTTTTGTTTTGTTTTTTTGCTCCAAAGCATAAAACAATTTACTGGCTGATGAAAAGTAATTCCTTCTCCATAAGAGTAAGAGAGGTCTGGCAGAGAATCTGCTATTTAGGATTTTTAATAGAGATAGACTTAATGGAATTCAATTTTATTAGATTTTGTTATATGGAATTCATTTTTTTATTAGACACAAAATTCAGCATGTTCCACGTGCCCTACCATATTCTAGTTGACACATCTCTTGAATTTCCTAAGGTGTTGGATTGACTACCTGCATTTTCATAAATGGGTTGTCCTAATCCATCTGGGCTGCTAATAATTAAATACCACAGACTGGGTAGCTTATAAAGAACAGAAACTTGGGGCACCTGGGTAGCTCAACTGGTTAAGCATCCAACTCTTGATTTTGGCTCATGTCATTATCTCATGCTTCATGAGATAGAGCCCCACATCAGGCTCTGCACTGACAGCTGCTTGGGATTCTCTCTCTCCCTTTCTCTGACCCTCTTTCATGTGTACAATGTTCTGTTCTCTCTCTCAAAGAAAAGAGAGAAGAGAAGAGAAGAGAAGAGAAGAGAAGAGAAGAGAAGAAAAAAGAAAAGAAAAGAAAAGAAAAGAAAAGAAAAGAAAAGAAAAGAAAAGAAAAGAAAAGAAAAAAGAAACTCTCTGCACAGAGTTCTGAAAGATGGAAATCTGAGATCAGGTGCCAGCACATTTGGGAGCAAGCTCTCTTCTGGGTCTTAGTCTTCTCATTGTATCCTCACATGGCAGGAGGAATTACAGATTTCTCTAGCCTCTTTTAGTAAAACACTAATCCTATTCATGAGGTTCCACACTCTTAACTTAGCACCTCCAAAAAGCTCTACATCCTAATATGATCACTTTTTAGAGTTAGGATTTTAGCACATAAATTTGGAAGAGACACATTTAGACCACAGCATGGGTATATAGCAAAACCAACAAAAATAATAGACATTAAATCAGATGGTGGCAAATGTATAAAGAGTTCATACTTCAGTCTCACTTTATCACTTAAACTGACAGTGAAATATATTCTGTTGGCAGCAGTTTCAGGAACCTATAATTCTGCCACAGAGAAATCAAGATTCCTTTACTTCATTGTGAGAGTAGAGAAACACACAGCATACACACAAAGGCTCACAACATTATATGAAAGGTACTTTCAAAAAAAAAAAAAAGATTCATGCATTGTACTATAAGGAAACATCTGTGGTACTGAAATTAGAATGGGATAATGAAATAACATGAACAGACTAATTTGAATTAAACTGTGGGGTGCAAGATGTGTGCAAGTCTCATACTAAGCATGGCCTGTCTTATTACCTTTCCATAAAGGCTTACTGAAGGATTCCTTTGAATTCACAGATATAAAATCAATACCATGATCATCTTTCCATCTATCCCACTAGAATAAAAATGCTATTTTCCCTCTGATTATGTACTCCAAATATGACATGTAATATGATAATTTGGATAATATTTTTAGTGGCACAATTTATTTATTTTTATTTACTTAAATCTAAGTTAGTTAATATATAGGGTAATAATGGCTTCAAGAGTAGAATTTAGTGATTCATCACTTACATGTAACACCCAGTGCTTCCCAACAAGTGCCCTCCTTAATGCCCATCACCCATTTAGCCCATCCCCCCCACCAACACTCCTCAACCAACCCTGTTTGTTCTCTGTATTAGGAGTCTCTTACGGTTTGTCTCCCTCTTTGATTTTATCTTATTTTTCCTTCCCCTCTCCTATGTTTATCTATTTTGTTTCTTAAATTCCACATATTAGTGAAATCACATGATATGTTTATTTCTCTGACTGATTTATTTTGCTTATTTCTAGTTCCATCCACATTCTTGTAAATGGCAAGATTTCATTTTTTTTTAATCACAGAGTAATATTCCATTGCACATATTCTTTATCCATTCCTCAGTTGGTAGACATTTGGGCTCTTTCCATAATCTGGATATTTTTGATAGCACTCCTAAAAACATCGGGGTGCATGGGCCCTTCAAATCAGCATTTTATATCTTTTGGATAAATACCTCGCAGTGTAGTTGCTGGGTAATAGGTTAGTTCTATTTTTAAATTTTTGTGGAAACTCCATAATGTTCTCCAGAGTGGCTGTACCAGTTTGCATTCCCATGATCAGTGCCAAAGAGTTCTTTTTTCTCCAATCCTCAGCAACATCTGTTGTCTGAGTTGTTAATGTTAGCCATTCTGACAAGTGTGAGATGGTATCTCATTGTGGTTTTGATTTGTATTTCCCTGATGATGAGTGATGCTGAACATCTTTTCATGTGTCTGTTAGCCATCTGGATGTCTTCTTTGGAAAAATGTCTGTCCAGGTCTTTTACCTATTTCTTCACTGATTATTTGTTTTTTGGGTGTTGAGTTTTTAAGTTCTTTATAGGTTTTGGATACTACTCCCTTATCTGATAGGTCATTTTCAAATATCTTCTCCCATTCTGTCAGTTGCCTTTTAGTTTTATTGATTATTTCCTTCACTGTCCAGAAACTTTTTATCTTGATGAGGTCCCAATAGTTCATTTTTGGTTTTGTTTCTTGCCTCCTGAGATATATCTAGTAGTAAGGTGCTGCAGCCAAGGTCAAAGAGGTTGCTGTCTGTTTTTTTTCTCTAGGATTTTGATGGTTTCCAGCTTCCATTTAAGTCTTTCATCCACTTAGAGTTTATTTTGGTGTATGGTGTAAGAAAGTGGTCCAGGTTCATTCTTTGGCATGTCACTATCCTGTTTTCCCAACACCATTTGTTAAGAGACAGTCTTTTTTCTATTAGATATTCTTTTCTGCCTTGTGGAAGATTAGTTAGCTATACATTTGGATGCTTTTTAAATGGGTGCTGATGTGTAAGTGCTAGGCTTACAATGCAAAACTTCAGGGTTAATAAAGTTAGAATGATTAACCTCTTAAAAAGGGCAATGTGCCCTGATGTTCAGCTGCATAAAATGGGATTGGCAGGTTCATTACTTACCTTAGGAATTCTCTTCCTTTTAAAAACCAATTAATTGTTGTCATTGTTTAGTCTAAATTATACTTACTTTTTTCCTAGAAAAGGTACAGTAAGACCTCTTGTTGACAGATAATTACTACAATACCTTGGCAAGGACTGATCTACTTTTTTGTTTTCTCTTTGAAGACACTATGCTTGTTTTCTTTATTCTGGCCTCTGGTTTTAAGATTTATTAAAGACATATTTACAAAGATTTATATTCACATGATACTCCTCCAAAACATGAGCAAATCTCTCTTAGTGAAGGTCACATCCTGATCAAGAATTGGAGGAGTTTATAAATATTCTGGAGATACAGGCCACAGGAAAGATACCAAGGGAAAAGAAAAAAGCTATCCTATCACAGGTTTTATATAGAAAATAAATCTGTGGCATATACTACTTAATGTCCATTCAGATGGCCAGGTAATTATTTATTGATTCAAAGACCAAACTTATACATCCTTTACCTCAGAATGTAATCTACTCGACTTGATTCACTTTACCTAATTAATGAGAGGATACTGTTCAGATATTTTTAATACATGTGCAAAATGAAAGAATATGGTAGATTCTGGACCTCATGACTTCCTAGATAAATGGACAATTGCTTTGTACCATAAATTCAAATCCTAATCAACACATTTTTTTTCTAAAATAAGGCAATTAATTATTAAGTAATCACAGGAAAACAAGTAACAAAAAGAATTTAGCTGAGTAATATGTAGTAATAAGAGAATTTGTAAGGGAATGTGTGATAAAATAAATCTAAACTACTTTGCAAGCCATAGGTCATTGTAATCCAACTGTTCTTCAATCATAAAAAATAAAATTTAGGACAGAATTCCATGAAGTTCTAATAGAGACCAATAATGCAAGTTTTGAAATATTTTTATTTATTCATAAGTGCCTCTGTTTCAGAACTGGAGTGTATACAAAATTTTAGGGTAGTTTAACTCAAGTTTTAAAAGCACTTTAAAACCTTTTCAACATTTTGAAAAAATTTACATATTTGTTTTAAATTAGTTGATTTTTTGTGAGACTGCATTTGCTATGTAATGCATATACACAAATGCCAATTTATATAACACATAATTTTATCATATATCTAAAACATGCTTAACTAGATTGACTTTTGTAACATAAATACATAAACTAGATTGACTTTTGTAACATAAATACATATTGTTAAACTATTTGAGATCATTGCCTGTGGAATATATATTTTTGAATCCCACTATGCCTAACACAAGGTAGGCATTAAGTATTTGTTCAAAGAAAATTTAATATAGTGAAATCAACTAAAATGTTGATTTTGCATACAATTTATCTTTCAAAAGCTAATGCAAATAAATATTAAATACAATGTGTATTTTAGTTTATCACTGAAGAATACAAATTACTATTTTTAAAACACCTTAAATGTCTCCTTACTTATGAATAGAAAATAAAATCAAAGGAAATACAATACAGAGTGGCCTCACTGAAATTATAAGAGTTGTGTTTGCTCTTTAATAATGAGAATGTATGAAGTAAAAAATAAATAAATTGAATTGAAACTTTACTAAAATAAACACAATACTACATAAAGAAAATCAGGTACCTACATGAGTAAATATATCGTATATGTTATATAAAATCTGGTAGAAGTATTAGAAAACTGAAAGACTGAGTAAAATGTACTAGAGAAAAAATTCAAATGTATGGAATTTTCATGGAATGTGTCAAACTGGAGAGTTTATGAGAATGTAGTTATAATTAATTAGGTAAAAAATTAATGCTTTAAATTCAAAAATTCTTTTTAAAAGCTGTACAGTTTATAATTTTATATAAAAAATCTGTAGCAGAATTTAGTACATTTTGCAATTAAAATGATGGAATTTAAATAATCAAAGCTGTATTTGGTCCTGAGTAATATTTTTTTTTGATCGCCTGATTTTTTTGAGAGATTTAATTTTTTTTAATTTTTTAAAATATTTTTATTTATTTCTGAGAGAAAGAGAGGCAGTGTGAGGAAGGGAGGGTCAGAGAGAGGGAGATACAGAATCTGAAGCAGCCTCCAGGCTCTGAGCTAGCTGTCTGCACAGAGCCTGATGCGGGGCTCGAACCCACGAACCTTGTGATCATGACCTGAGCCGAAGTCGGACGCTTAACCGACTGAGCCACCCAGGCACCCCTTGAGATATTTTAAAAAGTGAGACTTTCTAATTGAAAAAATCATATTAGAATATATTATTCTAATCATATATAGAATTCCATTTTACTCTTTCCTATCTACCTCAGAAAGATATCTCATACTGTTAACTAGTCCATTTTATAGAGTCCTCATAAGATACTTTGTAATAGGGAGAGTATTTCCTTTGAATTAGGCTCAATGTGTACAGCGACACCTTATCTGTTCCCTAGAACAGACGCACCTGAGGTCTTTCGTCTATTAGATGTCCCAAAGTCCTTGAACTTAGGAGTTATTTGGGAGTTGCTGAGCAGTAGAATAACAGGTTGGCCTTTCCTGGAAGGTCACTGTTGACCTTCAATACAGGATAAGCCTTCAAGTCTATGTAAAATAGTCCTTCCCTTAAATACTAACTTCAGTGTTTCTCGGGCCACAACAGAATGCAAAACCAAGTGGACTCATGCTGTCAGATCTGATCTATAGCATTTGAATTCCTAACTCCAAGTAACTTTTTTTCTTCTCATAATTTCTCTTCTCTGAGTTACAACCTTCTGCTCTATTCCTTTAATTAATAAAATAAAGTTAATTTTGTTTGCTTATGTAAAATAGTAATGTTGCCCCATCAGGAAAGTACCATCCATATTATGGTTTATCTTCCTTCACTAGCATTAATGAAGCCATTGAAATTAAAAACACAAAGTCATGTATGTTCTGGGATCCAAGGAGCAAAATATTATTAGCTCTTTCATGATGAGTCAACTTTCCTCTCCCAAAATAACGGAACAGGGAGTTTCTGGTCATACGTTGAAAAACAAAATCAATTATACATAAATTGAGTTGTGAGCAAATCACCACACTAGTTGATTTTTTTCTGTCAAGATACACAGTTATACTGTATACTTAGATTTATCAGTCAACCCAAAGTAAAGACAGCTATAAAACAAGGGGTAAAGTATTCATGGGAATTGATAAAACTTGAGGACCATGCCCAGGTTACTACATCAATCAATACATACTAAGCATTCAATAAATTATCTGGATTTTTATTTAATAAAAATGCACGTGGAAAAGCTGGTTGTAATGCAAACATACTACAGGTTAAATTGAATACAGAAGAAAGACATTGGATCAGCTTGAATTAAAGTAATTTGCTGTGATGAAGCAAAGGAAACTAGATTTTCTAAAGGAAAGTGCCATGAGGCAAAAAATGTTCCAATAATTGAAAAGGGAAGATAGTACATTCAGTTTAATCACTATTGAAAGTAAAGGAGGTTATGAATTGGGCTTTTAACTCACACAGAATGTAATTTTAGTACCTAACACATCTTGAAAGACAAAGGAAAATGATCTATGTGGAAGTCTAAGAACAAATATGAGAGTTATTTAAGTAGTGTCTAGTGAAAACAAGGCAAACTGTGATATGTGAACCTGTAAACTAGATTTTGGTAATAGAGAAACTGCCATAACATTCATCATGGGACTTAGAATACAACCAAAGGGGAAACCCTTTGATTAAAGGTAATTCTTTCTCTATCTCTCAGTCTCATCTAGTTTCCAACAGTTTGTAAATCTCATGTGAACACAAAACTCTGTTCTGTCTTTTCATTCTTCTTTGCTCTCACTTTGCTTTTAAAAATGTTTTAGTTCAGCTTCACAACAACAACAACAACAACAACAATAATACTTAATTCCACAAACTTTGGGGATTTTTAAATATAAAAAATGCCATTAAAGTAAATAGGTAGTTAGCTCTTACTTAAAACAATTCAAATTCAGTAAATTAGATAGATAAATTAATCAAAAATAAAGAAATCAAGTTTTGGATTCTACCCAGGATGTAGATAATGGGAAAAAAACA